CAAGACAGTTAACTTGGTTCTTGCCCTGAGCCAGGCCCTGGCCCGGAGCCTGGGGCCACAGGTGCCCTCAAATGCACATGGGACTCAGGTTCACGAGCAGTGGCCTCACGGCAGGAGGGTGGTCACCATGGGCTGGGGAGGCTATGTGGCTCCTCTGGCAGCTCCCCTGCGAAAGCCAAGGTCGAAGAGTGAGTTGAGTGTGTCTGACCCTCTCCCTCTCCGCTCAGGGCCCAGAGCCGCCCAAACAGGCAGCCGTGACTCTGACGAAGCCACCTGGTGCTAGGGGCGTGGGGTGGGGTTGGGGGCACCAGTGGAAGCCCACTGCTTGGTGGTCCCAAATGTCACAGTCTGCGACCCATGAAGGATGGCTGGGCCACTCCTTGGGACAGGGTTACACCAGACACACACACACACACAGACATATTCACACCAGACACACACAGACACATTCACACCAGACACACACAGACACATTCACACCAGACACACACACACAGACACATTCACACCAAAAACACAGGCACATTCACACCAGACACACACACATTCACACCAGACACACAGACACTTTCACACCAGACACACACAGACACATTCACACCAAAAACACAGGCACATTCACACCAGACACACACACATTCACACCAGACACACAGACACTTTCACACCAGACACACACACAGACACTTTCACAACGGACACACAGACACTCACACCAGACACACACACAGACATATGCACACCAGACACACACACACGTTCACACCAGATACACACACAACCATTCACTTCAGACAGACACAGACACATTCACACCACACACACACAGATACATTCACACCAGACACACACAGACACATTCACACCAGACACACACACAGACATATGCACACCAGACACACACACACATTCACACCAGATACACACACAACCATTCACTTCAGACAGACACAGACACATTCACACCAGACACACACACAGACACTTTCACAACAGACACACAGACACATTCACACCAGATACACACACAGATGCATTCACACCAGATACACACACACAGACCATTCACTTCAGACAGACACAGGCACGTTCACACCAGACACACACAAAGATACATTCACCCCAGATACACACACACACACACACACACACACAGGCAAAGACACATTCACAACAGACACACAGACCATTCACACCAGACACACACACACGACACAGACACACCCCTGCACACAGCCACTGTACTCATGCATGCCTGGGCACACCTGCTTGCACGCTCACACTTGCTCACCCCCACACTCCCCTGCTTCCTCGCCCACTTTCTCTCCTGGTCCTGCAGCGCTTGTTCCCACTAGGTCACTGGGGGGCCAGGAAGAGCCAATCAGGCCTGCCGCCATCCCCACCCCACAGAGTGATGCCACGTGCCCAGAGCAGTGGGCGTGGGAGGCAGAGCCTGGAGCTCCCAAAGCCGGCCGCCCACGGCCTCGCCTCCAGCCATGAGGGTGCGGAATTCTCCCCCACCCAGCAGAGGCTCCGGCCATCTGTCTCCAAGGATGCTGGGGGCGGACAGGCTGTGCCGCTCTAGGGCTGCTCCACTTGACGGACAGCAGTGTCGACCACCCACGTTTGCTCCACAGACTTCCACACCCCTCCCCAACCAGCAGCCCGGGGAAGGCAGGCTGGAGGTCCCTGCATGACAGGTGAGGAGAGCGGAAGGGAGCCCGGCACTCTGAACACCACCCCCAGCCCAGCTGCACGTCAGGATCCCACACTGGCCTCTTACATTCGGAAGCCGAGCCCCACCCAAAACCCAGCCATCAAAGTCTCTAGGGGCAGCACCAGCAGGGCAGAGGGCACTGGTTCCCTTAGAATGTGCTAGAAGGCTTATCCTCAGGCGTCCTTGTCCCCACACTGCCCGGCACCGCCCGCCTGCTCACTTGCAGGTGACCCTAGTTTCTCAGCGGCTTGGTAGCCTCGCGGGTTTTGTAACACTGACATCACGTGTGTGAGACCATTGGCTTGGAAGATTCAGCTCAGAATTGGACAGAAGGGCCCTGCCCTGCCAGGGACAGCTGCAGGTCCTTGTCACCTGCAGCTGCGTGAGAAACTAAGGTTCAAACCGATCTTCCTGACCTGAAAAGCAGGTCCTGCTCCGTTACCCCTTTGCCCAGGCTCTCCGTCAGCCGGGTCAGGGCAGCCGGGTCAGTTACTCTCGTTTCCAGAGGAGGCGAGAGGCAGCACGAAGGCCACGGACAGCAAGCCTCGGGGCCACAGCACAGCCTCAGATCGTTGCTGACACCCCGTGCCTCCCACAGTCCTTCCCAGGAGAGCCACGACAGCGCTCACCCCACTCCCAGGGTGCTCACCTGGGACCTCCTCACCTCTGCACCTGCCCTGGATGTCTCCAGCCCTGACCCTGGCCTGGCAGTGCTGGCGGACAGGTTGCAACCAGTCCATCTCCCCAGGGGTGAGAGGGGCCCATCACCGGCCACCCACAGGGATTCCTGGGTCTGTTTTGTGGAGCAGCGTCCAGGGTTCCCTTCATGTCCTTTAAATCTGCATGAACCTGACCGGCACACTCACTCCAGGGCCACGTGTTCTGTAAGCACTGAACACCGTGCTGTTAACCAAGGTTATGTTAAGAAGCGACTACGTGGCCAGGAAATAGATTTTGTATAGTTAGGTGCTGTTAGGATAGAGACGGGTTTTCGTCTGCGGCTCCTGGCTTATAACTCCCATAGCGCTTGTTCCCATTTGCGTTAGAATGTTGAGGGTGTTGGGCCTCATGGGCAGCCTCTGACCTCTCCTGCCCTCCTTTTGCCTGCCCCAAGGCGGCACCCTAAACTTCTCCCGCCTTTCGGATTGTGGGTCTTAAGACCCTCTCATGAGAGGGTCCCATCCTACGCCAAGGGGGGAGGAATGCTGACGTCATGAAGCTTCCCTAAAATCCCAAGGGGACTCGGTTCAGTGAGGTTCCTGGAGGGTGGTGCAGCCAGGAAGCATGTGGGAGCTCTGAGTCCCTTCCTCCCGCCTCAGCCTATGTGGGGAAAAGAAAGAGAGATCAGCCTGTTACTGTGTCTATATAGAAAGAAGTAGACATAAGAGACTCCATTTTGTTCTGTATTTGAGATGCTGTTAATCTGTGACCCTATCCCCAACCTTGTCCTTGCAAGAGACATGTGCTGTGGTGACTCAAGGTTTAATGGATTTGGGGCTGTGCAGGATGTGCTTTGTTAAACAAGTGCCTGAAGGCAGCTTGCTGGTTAAAAATCCCGCCCGTCCCTGGGCAATGGAACATCTCGGTGTGAGACCCGATTGTATGCTCTGTTTACTGAGATAGGACTTGCTGGCGGGACTTGCTGGTGCAATGCTGCTAAGAGGTTTATGGAGATGTTTGTATATGCATATCAAGGCACAGCATTTGCCTTTGAACTTATTCATGTCACAGAGATCTTTGTCCATATGTCTTACTGCTAATTTTCTCCCTTCGATGATCCTATTGTCCTGCCACTCCCTTATCTTTAAGATGGTAAAGATAATTTCAATAAATACTAAGGGAACTCAGAGACCGGTGCTGGTTGGGTCCTCTGTAAGCTGAGCGCTGGTCCCCTGGGCCCACTTTTTCTTTCTCTATACTTTGTCTCTGTGTCTCATTTCTTTTCTCAAGTCTCTCGTTCCACCTAATGAGAAACGCCCACAGGTGTGGAGGGGCAGGCCACCCCTTCAAGCCTATGCGTCTCTTCATCTGTGTCCTTTGCAATAGTCTTTTTCATTAATCCGTAAATGTAAGTGTTTGCCTGAGCTCTGCGAGCTGCCCCAGCAAATTAACAGAATCGGAAAGAGTGGGTCATGGGAACACCAACCTGAAGCTGGTTGGTCACAAGTTCCAGGGGCCCAGACTTGCGGCTGGTGTGTGTAGGGGGCAGCCTTGGGGGTCACAGAAGTCTTGTCCTGTGTTGATGACTGTTGAAGTGTGACAGTAGAGGAGAAACACAGTTCAGGCAAGAGGTTTCCCTGCACAAGTTACGAACCACATGACCTGGCACAACTTTCCCGACCTGTGCCCCTTCCTCGCCTACTGGGGGGTAATGAGATCAATGTCCTAGCCTGAGCAAGAGCCCAGAAGGCGGCTGGGTGCATGGGCAAACCTCGAGAAATGTGAGCTTGTATGTGAGGCATATGACATGCTGACAGTGTGCCATGTCCATGGTGCCACGCCCCCGTGCAGCTTTGAGTGCAGTGACTTTCTGATTATAAAGGCCCTGCGTGCTCAGTAAAGAGTCTGGAGAAAAGCAGAAAATTTAAAGAACATGAAGAACTGCCCAGAAATAACAACTATGAACGTTTCAGAGGCCCCTCATCCTTTTCCTGTGTACACTGTGGCATAGCTACACCGTCCCCTGCCTGGGGTCCCGGAACATGAGAGCATCCACTGCCACCCTGACTCATGCGTGTCCTCAGCTGGGCTCCTGTGCCGACCACAATCCCATTCCCTGATGACAGCCGGCCAGTCTGCCAGGATATTCCTCCTCAGGACGGCCCCACTGCCGAGTCCCCAGCATGCGCTGACTTGGGTACTCCCTACGTTGAGTCGACCATTAGGCCCATCATGCTGATGCAGAGTAGGGAGCCCCAAAGTGGGGCTGGGCCCGCTTGGGTTCTTCTCTTCACCCAGGAAAGACTTCAAGGGCGAGCCCATGGTGGGGTGGAAGAAACAGCTTTATTGACGAGGCAGTGTTGCAGCTCCGTGACGGTCCCTGCAGAGCGGGGCTACCCTACAGGCAGTGCGCCGAGAGGAGCAGCTCAGGGCGGTTCTGCGGTCATGTCTATATCTACTTTTAATAACATGTAGATTAAGGGGTGGTTTATGCAGAAATTTCTAGATCCTGAAGTTATTGCCCTGGAAAGAGGAGGTAACACCCAGGTGTTGCCATGGCAGCGGTCAGCTCACACTGGTGGGCGTGTCTTATGGAAAGGTGCTTCTACCCCATCCCTGTTTTAGTTGGTCCTCAATTTGGTCCAGCGTCTGAGCCCCGCCCCTGGAGTGGAGTGCCACCTCTCCACTGCAATGTGAGTGGGGACAGATTCCCGGGGGCACCCAGCTGAAGGTCACATCCTGCCGGAAGAGCTAAGACCACACCTGTCTGTCTGATTTCTGAAGCTGGGGTCTCATCCCTTGGATCTCTGGCTCCCTTCTTGTCCCAGAGGCCAAGGGGTGGGGGGGCTAAATATTTCGGGACCTTTAGACCACACTTGTAGAAGGGTGTGCAGGCGGGGGGACTGAGGCCAGTAAAGGTCACACTTGTAGAGGGGTGTGCAGGCGGGAGGGACTGAGGCCGGTTCCGGCTCTGACTGGCGGCCTTCCCAGGCCCTGAGGTTTCTCCAGGGTCAACCCCGTGGCCCACTGGCAGCTGAGTCACACAGAGTGATTGCTGGTTGTGTCCTTGATTGAGAGCAATGCACTCAGAGCATCCTCTGCTCATAAATAGCAGGAAGCAAAAGGCCATTAGGAGAGCATATGGTACCTCTAGGCCATTTCTGCCTCTGGCCCCGTCACTGCCACAGTGGCTGAAACTCGTCTTCTGTCCTGACAGGTTTCCCTAGAAACCCATCGATTTATAGCATCTGTAGCTGGCCTTTTGGAGACCCCAGACCAAACTGTGTTAGAAAACAACAGCAACAACAAAACTCCTATTTCTCCAAATGGCCCTGGAAGACGCACCGACTGTGCCCTCAAGACCCTGTGTGTGGGGCGTCCGCCTCCCTGGGCGCATGGAGTTGGCTGGTGACCAGGGTGTAAGGGTGCATACTGGGCAAGGACGGGCTGAGGCAGGCGGCAAGGTCCGCATCATCCTCACCCATCTGTGGTCCCTGGTCACGAAGGATAGACCCATCCATCCACCTTTCTGAAACTGTTGCCAATGCACCCTGAATTCGGGAATGCTCTCCTCTCTCTTCTTTCTCCCCTTGCCAGACTCAGGGCAGAGATGGTGGCTGACGTTTTTCCCCAAGGGTGAGGACAAGGAATGACCAAAAGATCATCATCCAGGGGCTTTGGGAATGTGGGCCCTGCTGCGTTTCCTCCAGCAGAAGGGTTTCTTTCCTTCAGTTTCCATCAGTTTTCAGGGAGGACAAAGGTCCCTTTTGCTACCTGATCTCTGTCTCACGCTCTGCAAACCCATCCTGCAGGCTGCAGGCACGACCCCACTTGGGAGTCCATCCCCCTTTCTCTCACTCCTTCTCCATGACTTCCCACAACTCTTGGCTGGGTGTGTGCTCCAGGGAACTTTCTAGGGTGGTGGCACTATGCCACAATTTGGGGGTTTTAGGGTGGTAGTTACGTGGGTGTCTACAATTGTTAAAATTTACTAAACTAAGATCTGTGCATCATATTGTATTAAATTGTATCTCAAATAGAAAAGGACGAGAGTGCACCTTGTGTAGGGCAAAGCTGTGCTGCACATCCCAGCCCCGCCGGCGCTCTGGGGCTGGCCTCCGCTTATGCCCTGCAAGGCCTCACCCTCAGATGCAGCTTGTTCACTCAGCACACTCATGCATGTATGCCACGGGTCAGTTGAGATCTGGACCAGGGGTAGGTACAGAATCTTTCTTGGTCATTGCGATTGTTTTAACAGCTTTGTTGAGCTATCATCCACATACTATCAAATTTACCCATTTAAATTACACAACTCAATGCTTTTTAGTAACTGTCTCCACGGAGCCGTGCAACCATCAGCACAGTCTAATGTGAGAACATGTTCATTGTCCCTTCCCAAAGAAGGCCTGTATTTATTAGCAGTCATTCCCCAATCCCACACCTCCCCTAGGTCTTACCTGACCCCAGACCAGCACCAATCTCCTTTCTGTCTCTACGGATTTGCTGATCCTGGGCATTTTGTACAAATGGAATCAGACAACAGATGCTCTTAGTGACTAGCTTCTCTATTTAGCAGAATGTGTTCAAGACTCATCCATGTTGAAGCACACAACTGTACTTCATCCTTTTTTGTTGCTGCATAATACTCCGTGGTTGCTGAATACTATTCCAAGGTATTACTTGTCAGTTGGTAGACATTGGGGTTGTTTCTACTTTTTGGCTGTTAAGATCTAAGGCTGCTATGAAATTCATGTACAAGTTTTTATGTGCACATGTTTCCAGTTTTTGTGGGCATATACCTTGGGGTACAATTGCTGGGTCATATGGTAACTCAGTAATTAATTTTTTGATGAACTGCCAGACTGTTTTCAAATCAACGGCATGATTTGACATCCCACCAGCAGCATATGAAAGTTCCAATTTTTCTACATCCTTGTCAACACTTGTTATTATCTGTCTTCATGACTATAGCCATGCTAATGGATGTGAAGTGGTATCTTACTGTGATTTTGATTTGCATTTCCCTGATGGCTAATGCAGCTGAACATCTTTTCATGTGCTTATTGGTCAGTTGTGTATCTTCTTTGGAGAAATGTCTATTCAAGTCTTTTGCCCCTTTTTTAAAAATTGAGTTATCTGTCTTTTAATTATTGCATAGTGAGTTCTTTTCTTTCTTTTTCTTTTTTTTTAATGAAATGGAGTCTCGCTCTGTCACCAGGCTGGAGTACAGTGGCTTGCTCTTGGCTCACTGCAAACTCCACCTCCTGGGTTCAAGCAATTCTCCTGCCTCAGCCTACAAAGTAGCTGGGACTACAGGTGCGCACCAACATGCCCAGCTAATTTTTGTATTTTTAGTAAAGATGGGATTTCACCATGTTGGCCAGAATGGTCTCAATCTTGTCAAGACCAGGATCAGGTGATCCTCCCGCCTCAGCCTCCCAAAGTGCTGGGAATACAGGCATGAGCCACTGCGTCCAGCTGTGAGTTCTTTATTCTAGATACAAGTGTCTCATCAGAGAGATGATTTATAATTTTCTCCCATTTTGTCAGTTGTCTTTTTAATTTATTGTGTCTTAAAGCACAAAAGCTTTTAATTTTAGTGAAGTCCAATTCATCTGTCTTTTCTTTTTTTCCTTGAGCTTTTGATTTCATGTCTAAGAAGCTGTTGAGTAACACAAGGTCACAAAGATTTATGTGTTTTTTTTCTAAGAGCTTTTATAGTTTTAGCTCTTACATTTAAATCTTTGATCCATGTTTTGTTGTTTGTTTGTTTGTTTGTTTTCAGACAGAGTCTTGCTCTGTCACCCAGGCTGGGGTGCAGTGCTTTGATCTTGGTTCACTGCAACCTTCGCCTCCCGGGTTCAAGCGATTCTCCTGCCTCAGACTCCCAAGTAGCTGGGACTACAGGCACATGCCAGTATGCCCAGATAATTTTTGAATTTTTAGGAGAGACAGGGTTTTGCCATGTAGGCCAGGCTGATCTTGAACTCCTGACCTTAGGTGATCTGTCCCCCTTGGCCTCCCAAAGTGCTGGGATTACAGGCATAATCCCACTGAGCCTGGTGTAAACAAGCCACTGAGCCTGGCCTAATCTTTGATTCATTTGAATTAGTTTTTATATATGGATAATTTTTTAATATGCATGTGGATATTCTGTTATTCCAACACCATTTGTTGAAAAGGCTATTTTTCCTCATTGAATGGTCTTGGCACCCTTATCAAAAATCAATAGGCCATAGATGTGAGGGTTTATTTCTGGACTCTCAGTTCTATTCCATTGATCCATATGTCTATTCTTATGCCAATAAACACAATCTTTATTGTTGCCTTGTAGTTGGTTTTGAAATCAGGAAGTCTGAGTCCTTCAACTTTGTTCTATTCAAGAATATGTTGGTTGCTCTGGATCTCTTAAGTTTCTGTATGAATTTTATGATCAATTTATTTATTTCTACCAAAAAAGTCAGGCAGAATTTTGATTGGGATTACATCAAATCTGTAGGTAAATGTGGGGGCATACCACCATCTTAACAACAGCAAGTCATCCCCTTCAAGATTGTGGGATAGATATCCCACATTGTGTTTATCTAGGTGTTTATCTAGGTCTTTAAACATTCCTGTTAACAACCTTTTGTAGCTTTCAGTGTGCAAGTCTTGGGCTTCTTTTGTTAAATTTATCCCTAGGTATTTTATTCTTTTTAATGCAATTATAAGAGGAAATTTCTTTACATTTAATTTTTGGCTTTTTCGTCACAAGTGTGTAGAAATAAAATTGATTTTTGTATATTAATCTTGTATCCTGCCACATTGCCAAACTTGTTTATTTGTTCTAAGAGTATTTTTCATGGATTTCTTAGGAAGATCATTTCATTTGCAAATTGAGATTGTTTTTCCTTTCGTCTCTGGATATCTTTTGTTTCTTTTTCCTGACTAGGTTTTGCTAGAACCCTATTGTTGAAAAGAAGTGGGGAGAAGGGACATCCTTGTCATGTTTCTGATGAGAGGTAGAAAGCTTTTTCAGTCCTTCTGAATTAAGTGTGAAGTTAGCTGTGGGCATGATGAGCACTCTGAGTATTTTTAGACGGTGCCAAAGCAAAGCCCTCCTGTGCTCTCAGCAGACCCCTGAATGGCCATGAACCCCAGCGTCCTTTGCTTTCTCTTGTTCCTTCATGCTCGCCCTCCACCCTCCTCTGTGCTAACTCCTTCAGGCTGCAAATAAAACCCACCAGCTGCTTCCTATGCTACTCTCAATGCATCAGCTAAAGTTGGAATCTCAGCACCAAACCCAAGCCCTTTGTGCCTAAGGCCCCATGGCACAATAATCTCCAACACAGTCGTTAGGGTGAGACCTTGAGGAATGAACAAGCACTATGCAAATGCCCAAAAATGTATTCAGATGTCACCTACTTTTGTACTTGTAGCTGTTACAAATCCTTTAGAAGTGCGCCATTGGGAGGATGGCTGGATGGATGAAGATAGGGGATGCTTTCTGATTTAACAACCATCAAGTGTCAGGAGAGAGAAACACAGTCTGCGAGTAGCGCTGACTCTGGCAGAGATTTTATAACAATTCATGCAAAGTTTATTTACTCAATAAATATTTATTGAGCTCCTATTATGCACTTGGCACTGGGGAAAAAGAATGAAGACATAGAAGTCCTGCCCTCTGGCACCTAAGCCTGGTGGGTTCGGGGAGATGCATCCGGTAGCCCTGCCAGGGCCTGAGCATGAGAAGGCCAGGCCGTCTGTTCTAGTCATCTGAGCCAGAATTTGGCAAACTTCTCCCCAGCTGAGTGAGTGTGTCCAGAAGACTTGCATTACCAGGGACCCCACCCTGCAGCCACGGCTTAGAGTGCCCTAGAGTCTGAGCTCAGGTCCCGCATTTCAGAGCAGAGGGAAGGCAGCTGGCAGAGTAGGGAATTAAGGAGAATCCACGCTCACTTTTGTCTCCCTCTATGTGACCCTGGGCCTGGGGCTGGAGTGGCAGGTGCTACAGCCGGACAATAGGGGTTCCAAACCCCAGCTTCTGTCACTGTGGGAGCCACCATGTCAGAGGAAGGTGATGATTAATGCACAAATACGTAGTTTCTCCATCAGTCTGGTCTGTAACTGGTCTCTAGATTCATAATACCCTATCCAGGACAGGGTTTTCAGATGGAGCATCAATAATGCAGGTGCACACACACAAATTATGAATGAGGTTTATCCTGGAGCAGTGATAAGTGAGACTTTCTTGGAAGGCAGGGCTCGGCTGGCTGCTGTGGGCCCTGCAGTGACTCATATCTACGCTCAGGAGGGCTCCAGGAGCCTCTAGCTCTGCACCCCCTCCTCTGATGCAATCCACATTGCAGAGTGGCAGGCTCTCCTGTCCCTCTGGCTCAGCTGGTGCCAGCATGGCCAGCCAGCCCGGGGCCACCAAGTGCTTCTGTGCCACAGTAGTGTGTCTCCTCCCCTTGGCCTTTGCTGTGGAAGGAGCTCGCTGGAGAAGATTGTGGCCTGGGCCAGGGACGTCTGTGCCATCACAGCTTGGCATGGCCATGCCATCTCCCTGGCAGGAGGTGAGGAGGCAGTAAAAGGGCAGCCTAGACTGGCAAGAGAGGGGCTGCCCACTTCAGGGACATCACACCTACAGGAGACATGTCCTCCAGCACGTGGTCTTCATGCTGCCCCGACTCAGACTTCCTTTTAAACTGTGCCACACTGGGAAGTCCTTCACCATGGTGGGGCTCACCCTCACCACTGGTCCATGGCAAGGTGGAATAATACTTCCTAAACCCCTTTTTCCCTCCAGCTTCAGAGAATGAATAAGAAAGAGTCTAGAAGGTGCAGCTGGAGGTGCCATTTTTCATGGCATGGTGTTAAAAATTTTAAACGGGGCTGCAGTAAACTCTCCATCTGTGTGTGTCTCTAGCTGTGTGTCTATCTGTTCATGTGTGTTGTGTGTATGTGTGTGTCTCTGGGTTTCTATGTATGTATGTTCATGTGTATTCATGTGTGTGCATGTG